CGCATGTTATACAAGGCGACGAAAATCAAGTAAAAATTTTGATTTCAGATTTAGTCTAGCGCAATAAAGGCTTGTAGAGAAGATTGACTTAACCTCTATTAACAGAAATCTATAGCAGTTGTCCAAGTTCGCCCTATCACCCGTAGCATCTAAAACTGGAGGTAGATCCTTAACACGAAGTGCAGCGTAGCATACCACTTATTCGCGCGGTCTCGGATTGGAGGATGTTCTGGCCATACAATCCCAAATATTGAATTTTCATCATTTTCCGTTTCGATCCATCGGGAAAACATGCGATCCAGATGAATTACAACATCGTCATCCACTTTCATCAAGAAGTTTGCCTTTGGACAATAGTGTTTGAAGAAAATCATGGCTGTGTAGACCTGAACATCCATTGTGATTTGTGACAGAAAGTGTTGCTAAAAAATACTACATACACGCAAAACATGCAAGATAAAAGATGAAGATAACAATCTTGCAAAAGATCTTAGCATCGAGATTGAGCTTTCTAAATAAGTTCTGCTTCTCTCTCAGTAACATTTTTACTATTGCCGGCCTATATGAAGCATTGAAAATAATGATGTTTCGAAAATTAATCCTAAGATGGAATGAACCAAACTTAATGAGAACTTTTCGCTTTTCACTTTCTCAAAAATTGGAATACCCAAAAAAAGGTCAGGAAACTGCGATCTTCACCCTACTCTTTCTACCTTTCCAGGAAAGCCTATCTCAATGTTTCCATGAAAGACCACAGAACAGGAGATTATTGGTCGGAGTTATAAATATACTATATTCCCATTGAGCGGACGTCTGATAGTTCATAGAAAGTTTGTAACTTTTCCCCTATCCGTTTCATTCAATTTTTATAGAGTTAAATGGGAAAAGAAAGCAAAAATTGCAAAGTGATTGATAAGAGTGGTTGACTGAGGTCGTACGTATTAGTTAATATAAACTTGATATCCCTGCCAAATATATTCACTAGACTGAAAGCCTTTACTTTACCTCTTTTTAGAGCAAATCCATTTTGTCCATTTTGAGCGCTATTA